GCACTTAACAACAACAACAACAACATATATACATACATACTTAAATCAGGACAAAAAAGGCATCATACTACAGGGGGTGCCAGAGCTAGTGGACCTCCCCGACCCCCACAACTGGTGGGTTCTTCTGCCACACACGCCCACAGATATGCTCAGCCCAAAAGCTGGCCCTGAACTGTTTTCTAATAGGGAAAACACCAGAACAAGGGGTGTGGAGAGGGAAAGAGTTTAAAAACAAAACAGCCCGAAAGTTAAATTAAATCATGAGGTACAGCATAACAACCAACAGTGGCCATCTTGAAATTTATCAGACTGCCTTAATGGCACGAGGCTGAAAGAGGACATTAAAGTCATACTCATATTAGACTACAGATTTTTTTCTTCTTCATTTTTCTTCTCTCACTCCTCGTCCTTTTCTGCGGTTATGGACTATAGTATCCAATCTAATTGTGGTTTTTTGTTTTTTGTTTTTTAACGTTTTCTCTTGAGCTACGTGACTCTTTATATGGGAGAGTATTAGCTTTACGTTTACCCTATCGTATATTATTTCACTGCCGTAGTTACAATCCCCTCCATGCATCATCAAACAACCAAAGAATATACACTGCAAGCCCCTCTCCCTCTCTGGGTCTAGAGATCCCAGCCGCTCTATCTTGGCGTCACTGTTTCTCTGGGTAGGGTCCCGTACTCTGCTCTTCTCCTTTGATGGTCCCAGGGACCTCTGCTCTTGGACTGCAAAGTCATCCACTCCCCTCCTTTTGCTACAAAAGGTCTACCTTTACATTTCCAACCCCTACAATCAGTCCTGATAACATTTATTCACTATTATACCACAAGAGATCTATCCCCATCTCCTTCCATCACACCACCCAGACAGACTGGATACTACTCAGTGGAGATTCTACTTTCCTCCGTGCCCTCTGGATCTAGGCTCCCTCTTGAAAGCTTGTAAGCCAATCACTTCTTGCCTTTGTAGATCCCACCCCACTTTGGGTAGCCAATGTCCAAGTTGACTATCCCTGTCTACTCTGTGTATGGAGGCGTGGGAATGATCCTTGCTGTAAAGATTTGTTTCCTCTTTTGAGCTACTGCATCCATAAGTGTAGGTCAAGTTCATCAAATTGTATCAGATTACTCTTTTTTTCCTCTTCTCTCTTCTTCTAGTTGAGCTCTGATTATCCAGTCTTTAAAGCAAGGTCAAGTGGTATTATCTGCAAGTATGGGTGTTCTTGTGCATATGCCCTCTCTTCTTATTAGCTGGATGCTTCACACTCCACTCTAGTTTTTTGTGGCTATCTCACTGACTCTGGGCCCAAAAGTCTCCAGGTCTTGCAACACTGCTAGCCAACCAGGTCTCCACCTGGGTTTACAGGAGTCGGGTCGCTATGGGTCGGAACCGACTCGATGGCACTTAACAACAACAACAACAACTAAACATTATAAGGCTTAGCTCACAGCTTCATTGATGTTTTTCCCTCACTTCTCCTTATCGTTGACAATCATGGTCGCCAATTAGAACACATATCTGCTGGTATATTCCCATTGAGTCTTAGTCTTGGCAGGGCGTTTGCCCTGAGGGGACGGAGAACCAAAAAGAACACACAAGAACCAGAGATTGACATATGTGACAGCATCTTCAAGAATTAAACCAACAGAAGGAAGAGTTGAGAACAGAACAAAACTATAAGAACAAACTCAGAGAATCTAGGAGGTCAGTCTATGATCAAAACAATTACAATGTAAAAGAAGGAAGGAACAGAGATCATGATGGTGAGATGGTCAGGTAGATTACAAGATAAAATACACTGCACTAAATGGAGGGAAAACTTAATAGAATATATGGTAACTTCAAAGAAAACTAACACTTCACAACATATTATGAAAACGAAAACCCAAGGAGAACATGAAAACATTAAAGCTATGAGGAAACTCACAAGAAACAACACAAAAAGCAGCAAAACCACACCAAAAACACACAACATAATGGCAGCAATTAATCCATACCTATCGATAATTACACTGAATGTAAACAGACTAAATGCACCAGTTAAGAGACAATGGATAAGAAAACAAGATCCTTCAATATGCTGTCTACAAGACACACATCTTACCACAGAGACAAAAACAGATTAAAAGTCCAAGGATGGACTAAAAAATACCAAGCTAACTGCAATCAATAAGGAACAGGAGTGGAAATACTGATCTCTGATAAAATAAACTTTAAGGCAAAAACCACCATAATACATAAAGACTGACATTAGCTCAGGATTAAATGGACAATTGAACAAGATGACATAACCATAATAAATATCTATGCTTCCAATGAAAGAGCGCCAAAATACATAAAACAAACTCTTAATAGATTTGAAGAAATAGACGAATCTACAATACCGTGGGCGATTTTAATACACCAGTTTCAAAAATGTACAGAACGAGAAAAAAACTTGACAAAGACACAGAAGAACTAAACAACAATGGCCCTCATAGATGTGTACAGAGCTGTCAACTCAACAACAACACAATACACATTCTTCTCCAGTGCACATGGAACATTCTCCAGAATAGATCATGTGTTAGGTCACAAAACTAACCTCCATAAATTTACAAACATCAAAATACTACAAAGCATCTTGCTATCAAATTAGGAATCAACAATAGGAAAACCAAGG